AAGGGAGAGGGGGCAGGGGTATTTGTTCTGGAGGGGACAAAGGACTGACTCTGGATAGAGAGGAGACAGATGTGGCCCATAGGAAAATGTCAGTTTATGAAGGTAAAGGGGAAAACCATGTGTTAGGATGAAATGTTTAATTTTAATTGGACATGTTAATTAGGTGAGCCAAAGGGGGCTTTTGATTGCTAGATTCCAGTACTCTGATAGCTCGACCTTGGCAGTCAGTCTCAGGAGGAGGAGGTGGCCAAGTAAGGGAATGGACCTGGGTGGCTAGCTTCAGGAATGTGATCTAATGGGTTTTAGCAAGGCAGAGGGAGAGAAGGGAGAAGGGTAAGGTCTGCCAGAGCCACATGCTCATTGGCTTCCTTCTAACCTTTTTGTTTTATCATAGGGTCATTGAGTGCTGGGTAAGTGGGTGTCATTCTCTGGCTGCTTCCTGCTGACATTGGAGCATTGCTGTTAGGGGACCCAAGGAAGCTGAGTTGTTGGTTAAGGCCTGGAAGGGCATGCTGTGTCAGTCGATGTCCAGGTTCTGCAGGACCATCTGTGGCTAGGGAAGTGTAGTCTGTGAGGCTGCACCAGGAAGTAGATTCTGAGAAGACAGCTGAACCTGGCACTGGAGTTGGTGGAGAAGTCTGTAATTGATTTGAAATCTGTTGGGACGATGTGAAGTTAAGCAGTTTAGAAAAAAAATATTTTATCTTGGATGTACATTTGAAACTGTTAGGCTCATGGTTGAGAAGAGAATCCCAAGACCAGGGAAACAGAAATGGGTGAGAGATCGCACCCATAGGAGTGGGCAGGAAAATGTAGTCTGGTGGTTGGCAGGATACTTATCTGGAGTCTGTCTGAGAGTTCTTGAGGGGTGCCAGGAACATTTAGATTGTCCATATCAGATTAACTGGTGAACAACCAGTTATATATATATAAAAGCATTACCTAGTTATGTTGGGGAGAATATAGTTTAAGAGGCTTCTGTTACATCTGAATAGCCTTTCCGGGGTGTTTAGGTGGGTTCTAAAATTGAGGTATTTTAGGAACATAGATGATTGGGGATGTTCTTGGCAAACAGTGAGAGGGATGGTCCATTTCAGGGTTTGGAATGGTTGAGAGAACTCAGCTTTGGCTCCCAAATGGGGACTTGGATGGATAAAGGGGCAAGCAGTCAGTAGGGGAGGTGTGGCATGGGCAACTTGGGCATTTGTGGGCTAACAGAGGCCTTTGAAGAGAGGCACAAAGGAAGGTAGTGGGAGGCCCTGAAATGTGTGTGTGTAGATGGCTTTTGGTTTAGTTAAGGATTGTAAACACAAAGGCAAATAAATCTTTGTGCTGAGAACTTGGTCTTGGGTCCTGAATGGATACTTTTATTTATTTATTTATTTATTTATTTATTTTACATTCCTATTCCAGTTCTCCCTCCCTTTTCTCCTCCCTGAGCTGATACTTTTTGTTTCATTGTCCACCAACCAGTTGTCCTGCCACAAACAAATAAAGCTGGCCTTCCCCTCGGTGTGTTCTGCATAGGTTGAAGAATTGAAAATAAAACTGTGCTTATATTGAACACTTTTTTCTAGTCATTATTCCCTTAACTATGTAGTTAGAACAACTACTTATATAGCATATAGGTTGTAGTAGAGTGATGGCTGAGAGCAGCAATTCTCAACCCCTTTACAGGGTCGCCTAGGACCATTGGAAAATACAGATATTAACATTAAGATAACAGTAGCAAAATTACAGTTATGAAGTAGCAATGAAAATAACTTTATGCTTGGGGTCATCACAACATGAGAGTCACAGCATGAGGAAGGTTGAGAACTGCAGGTTTAGAGTGTATGACAGGGTTGGCTAGGTGTCTTGAGTAAATGTGCTTTCACCGAAGCTGATGGCCTGAGCTTATTCCTAGGAACACACTTGCTGAAAAGAGAGAGCTGACTCCCGAAAGTCATCCTCTGGCGTCTATGTGTCCCTACACCCAAAGAAGTAATAAATACATGTAATTAGTGGATAGGAGAGAATATGCATAGGTATAGTATATGTAAATAATTTATTCATTAATCACTTTGCATGTGTTTATCTAGCATGTCTATATTGGGTGGGACATGAGTGGGTCAGCCAGAGGACAGTTTGCAGGAATTCTCTCATGTTGGTCCTGGGGGTCAAGCTGAAATCATCAGATTGGACAGCAAGCATCTTCACCTGCTGAGCCATCTGGTAGGACATAGTTCATTGATTTCTTTTCTTTTTTATTTTTTTGAGAAATAAAATCCCAAATGCTGGGATTATAGCCACCATTCCTGGCTATGCTGTTTAATTAATTAGTTCATTAATCAAGGGTTTTGTGTGTGTGTGTGTGTGTGTGTGTGTGTGTGTGTGTCAATCAGAGGATGACTCAGCTGTCACCTGCCCACCTTGAGAGCTTTTGTTGTTGTTCATCTTGAGCTTCCTTCTCCATCTCCCATCTTGTCACAGGAACAAGGCTTTCACACGGTTTCTAGGGATTTGAACTCGGGTCCTCACACTTTTGTGGCAAACGCCTGACCCACTGAGCTGGATTCTCCAGCCCCAGTTCTGCAGTTTTGCATAGGAACCCTCTGCACCCGCACATGGAGCTTGGTGTCCATCTATGGGGCATCCTGAGCCAGCCTTCAGATACCAAGGTCACAAATGACTGGTTCACAACCCCTGCTCCTGAAGGCCATGGGACATACACTGTCATTAATAGCTTCAATTAGTATTCTAGCATTCCAGCAAGGGATCGGGATATTGTTGGAAAAGGCCAGAGTTGAAAATCAATGCTTTAGCTGGGCGATGGTGGTGTGCCCCTTTAATGTCAGCAATCAGGAGGCAGAGGCACATAGATCTTTGTTAGTTCAGAGACAGCCGAGACTGAGTTCCAGGACAGGCTCCAAAGTTACACAGAGAAACCCTATCTCAGAGGGGAAAAAAAAAAAAAATTAAGAAAAAAGAAAGTCAATGAGACTTTAAAGACTATATATATATATATGCATACATACACACACATACATACATATCCTCAAACTCACAAAGATTCCCCCTGCCTCTGCTTGCCCAGGGCTGGGATCAAAAGGTATGTGTTTCACCATCACTGTGTGTCTGTGTCTTTATGCATACGAATGCAGATGCCCTCAGAGACCTAAAGAGGGTGTCAGTGTTGTTGCTGAAAACAATGGTGGTGGTGGTGGTGGTGGTGGGTGGGAGATGGGGGGATGGGAGATGTGGGGGGGGGGAGATGACAGAGCTCCAGTGGAGAGTTTTTTTTATTGCGGGAAGGGAGAAGGTGTGGGAGGGACAAGAGTGGCATCAGGAGAGGAGAGAGGCAGAGAGAGAGAAAGAGAGAGAGGGGGGAGGGGAGAGAGAGGAAGGGGGAGAGAGAGAGGGAAGAAGGGAGGGTGGGAGGGGGGGAAAGACAGGAGGTGGGCTTGCCCACCTTTTATACTTTTTTTTTTTATAAGAGAGCATAGCGAATATGCTCAGGAGGTGCTTGCTCTTAGTGGCTGCAGCTGAGGGCATATCCTGTCAGGACCCCAAGGGCAGGCCAATACAGATGCCTGAATACTAACAGACAGATTTTCTGGAGCTGGAGTTCTGGTGGTTGTTAACTGCCCAGAGTGAATACTGGGAATGTAAATGCAGTCCAAGCAGCAAGCACTCTTAAGTGTTCATCACTTTGAGGATAATTTCCATACTGCTGAAGTCATTGGTGGAAGTGTGCATGTCAATGACCTTCGTTGTAATCGGTCTTTTTCTTCAATAAATGACACAGAGACTAATTGTTAATTATGAAAGCTCAGACGATAGCTTAGGCTTGTTTCTAACTAGCTCTTATAACTTTAACTAAACCCATTTCTATTAATTAACTTTCTGCCTCGTGACTTTATTATTCTCAGCTCTGTACTGCCCATCCTGCTTGCTCTGTGTCTCCGGGTCTCTGTCCTTCTTCCCAGTATCCTCTGTGCCTGGAAATCCTGCCTAGCTATTGGCTGATCAGCTTTTGATTTAAATCAATTGGAGTGACACATCTTCACAGTATACAAAAAGATCATTCCACAACACTTCAGTAAATTTGTACGCCTGTGCAACTCTCAATCTGACTATAATCTACTTTTAGAACATCTTAAACACCATCCTCTCCCCAGCTTCAAGTCCATTTGCATTCAGTCCTGTACTCTCACACTTGCAGCCTCAGGAGACCGTGTGTTCTCTTTAGAGATTTGCCTGCTATAATTTCTAAAAATTCAGTAATAAAAGGAGGTCATGCAAAAACTAGATGCTAAATAGGAATAGACCAAACCAGCTTTAAAATGAACAGAGTCTTAAAAGTTACTCAAAAGTGGGCTGTAATGGAGTGGAAGTGTAATTTAGCTAGAGTACATCTTTGCCATTCATTCTTTTGGCCCTGGGTTCAATCTTCAGCACCCTTCCGCCCAAAGTAGGCTAAAGTTTTAAATAACATGGCTACAGGCATCATCAGAATGTCCTTATAAAGCATTGCTTATTTGTTTGTTTTGTAGACAGGGTCTTCTATCCCAGGCTTGACTTCTATCCCAGGCAGCCCATGATGCCCTGTTTCTACCTCCACCACACCCTGCCAAAGAAAAGAAGGGGTGGGGGTGGAAATAGGTTCCATTTGGTAGCAGCTAGACCTGGGGTGGTGGCTTGGGAGAGCAAGGAGGGGAAGACATTAATTAGACTGTGCGAGATAGTCAAGTTATACTCACGAACCCAAGAAAAACGGCAGTGTTTCTCATATTTATTATTTATTATAGTTTTTAATTTGAGTATTTATTAGTGTGTACACACAAACCTACCACGGTGCGCAGCCGACCTCCCTCAACTCGAGCTTTGAGTTGGCCTTCCTAGCCTTACCTCTGCCCTTCCCGCCCGCCGCCCCTGGCCTTTCCGCTGCGCACGCGTGCTGCCCGCCTTCCCAGCCCAGGGGCGGGTCCGCATTCGCATCGACTCGGCGGCTCCCTGCGCGATTGCTTCGGTCTGTTCTTTAGTTATGGTGCGGGACAGGACCCAGGAAGAAGGCTGGAACCGGGGCTGGAGTTTGGCTGGTTGCTGAACGCTGGCTGTCCCAGTGCCGAACGGGCTATGGGAGAGCCCGATCCCCTGGGCTCGGGGCAGCTCGCGGCCGGCCGGAGCTGGTGCTTGCGGCGGCTGGGGATGGACCGCGAGTGGTTGCAGCTGGAGGCTGCGAGTGAGGTGAGGAAGGGCGGCCGGGGAGGGGGGGCTGCAGGCGCGGGGAGGCTGAGGAGCGGTGCCACGCCGATCCGGCATGCGGGAGGCACCGAGGTGGCACCGGGATCGGGCCGCCTCAGGGCCTGGCGGGATCGGGCCGCGAGGCCAGGCGAGGCCGTGGCTTGAGAGGCCCGGGCTGGTTGTGGCTGTGCGGGAGCGAGGCCCGTGCCAGAGCCGCCGTAACGGACGCGGGGTGCTCCGGCGAGGAGAAGCATGGAGCCGAGAGTAGCACGATCCCCGTTAGTGTCTCTCAGAGCCTTGCGATGGCCCAGTTTAGACGGGGAAACTGAGGCAGAGGCGTCCCCGCTCACCCGTCCGGATGACTGCGGAGTGCGTCTGGAGTTGATTTTGAATGTGATCGCGAGTTTAATGGTGGCTCTATTATCTAAAATCCTCCCAATTTAAAAAAATAAAGTCTTCCATTCCACCTCCGAGGAGAATGGGCACGTTGGGGTGGGCCACAGTTGCACTCCCAAAGTGGGTCAGGGATAGATAGCAATTCTCTCCAGAAACTGTTTACAGTGTTTGATAATGCAGGCTTAAAGGGCTGATGCTGGGAATCGAACCCTGGCTCTCGTAAGGCAAGCACTCTACCAGCTGAACTGTATGTAGAGTTCAGCTCCACTAATGCAAAACTAAAACGCAAAAAAGGGGAGGCACAGTGATGAGTGGGAGGGCGGTGCTAGGATCTTTGCAGTCAGCTCTGGAAGGAGAACTGGGTCAGGTGCAAGCTTGCCATTCAGAACCCTTTGGGCTTTGGAAAGTGTGCAATACTTGGAGGGAATCTTTTTGTTTTTCAAGACAGGGTTTTTCTGAAACTCACTCTGTAGACCAGGATGGCCTCAAACTCACACATCCTCGTGATTCTGCCTCCCGGGTGTTGGGATTAGAGTCTTGCACCACCACCACTGGCGAAAGGAGGGAATCTTAATTGGGAAAATGCCTCCATTAGATCCAGCTGTAAGGCATTGTCTTAATGATTCATGTGGGGTGGGAGGGCCCAGCCCATTGCCGGTGATGCCATTCCTGGACTGGTGGTCCTGGGTTCTATAGAAACAGGCTGAGCAAGCCAGCAAGCAGTACCTGTCCATGGCCTCTGCATCAGCTCCTGCCTCCTGGTTCCTGCCTTATTTGAGTTCCTGCCCTGACTTCCTTTGATGATGAACATGAACAGCAAAGTGTAAGTGAAAGCCAAATAAATCCTTTCCTCTACAACTTGCTTTTTGGTCATGGTGTTTCATCACCACAATAGTCATCCTGACAAAGACATCGTGTAATTTAAATATATTCAATTGGTAAGGTTAGATTTTTTTTTTTTTTTGATATATTCTCAGTTGAGGGACAAACATAGTTTCTGCTCTTGGAGTTTATGGCTTGAACCAGGAAAGAGAATTTCTACAATGAAGGAGTCAGTCTGTGAACCTCTTTATAGGTTGGTAAGGTGTTGCTTGTTTAGTGATATTCTAGAGTAGGTCTGATTTTAGTTGGCAGGTGCCAATCTGCTTTACCTAATCTGAACGCTGACCATTCACTAGTCTCTCAACCCTGTAGGAAAACTTAATAAGTGTTGACTTACTCATTGCTGCTCAGTTCAATGAACTAATCTGTCACTTCTGAATAGCTTGGCAGATCTGGGGTAGCAAGGATAAGAGGACTACAGGTTCTACATCGTGCCACAGTTCGTGCAGGGTCACACCTGTGGGGAGAGAAACCCACATAAACCGAGAGAATGATGAAGTAAGGGTGAGGATTGAGCCTCCTTGGCCTGTGTGTAAGAGAAGCCTGCCTGGTGATACACATGGATAGTAAACTATCTGTGCGAATGGGTGTCTTTAAGCTTTCTGAACCAATCTAGAGATTTTGGTGTAAGCAAAAATGAGTAGGGGTTTATTGCAGGCGAGTAGTTCTGCAAAGAAAAGCTGTGTCTTTTGCTTGCTTGTTTTCTTCTTTTGTATTTGGTTTTCATGAATCTGTGGTTTGGAAAGGGGGAAGGAATGGTTAGCATGAGACAGAGCCCTGCAGGGGAGCCGGGAGCCAGTGAAGATATACAGAAACAAGGGGACTGTCTGTATCAATGTCAGTGTACCTCAGGGTTGTAAATGGAGCAGTACCCGTGGGAGTTCTTAGGTGATCAGTGCTCTTGAAATAGAACCATTGTATTCTAGGACTGAGCAGTGAAGGAGGACAAAGAACATTGCTTTCTCTGTATTCTAAGTCAGGGACAGTTTCAGAACAAGGTGCTCTCCTAGTCTTCTGTACTGTGTTCCCCAGTGGCAGCCAGCCTGTTTCCCCTCAAGTGAAATATGAAATACTTCTCTAGACCAGCTACCAAATCTGCAAGTGGTCAGAGAACGTGGATGGTAATGATCCTGAATATCCCCTATCATCACACTTAGTCCTCAGACCTGCACATTCTCCATTTGAAAAGAGTGTGTGTGTGTGTGTATGAATATGGTTGTCTGTGTGCTATATGTAGAGGTCAGGGCAATTTCAGGGAGTTCCCTACTTCTCTCTGGACCCAGCTGAGAGATGCTTATACACAGAAAAGAGTCAGCAAACTAAGACTTGGATCTCAAAAGAGCATCACTTCTTTCCCCATGTGTTTATGATTAGATAGGTCTGCTAGGAAATATAAAAGGTGGGAACCAGAGCTTTGCTCTGTTTTCTGAAGAAACTCAAGCTGTTCTTGTGGGTAGATTGGGGACCTAGGACTCAAGGTATTTGGATGGTAGACTTTGCATAATGTGAATGTATCCTATGTATGTATCTTGTGTGTGGATCCCATGTGTGCATCCCATGTATGCATCCTGTGTGTGTATTGGTGCCTGCAAGGGCCAGAAGAGGGCATTGAATCTGCATTTGGATTTAAGACCTCTTGTGTGCATCTCTCTAATCTTCATTTCTTTTCTTATGTCCTAACTGGAGGTTCAACATCAACTGTCCTGTCAGTTTCCTGGAGACTAATGCTAAAGGAACATTATGTCTGTCTGTCTGATGGCAGATTGAAGAGTTAAAGTCTTAACAAGGCAGTGTGCTAGGCTGAACTAGCAAGATGAAAACATTTACCAACTACTCAGGCGGAGAAAGAGACAGCATAGTAATCTTGGGGAGGGCAGAATGGGAAACTGGAGTAATTTCTCAGGTCGAGGACATCTTGACAGTGTCCTGGAGCGTCGTGAAAGCCGGTGCCACACATCAGTAGCCACGCCTGGCTACTGGGACTGGAAAAGCAGTACATGACTTGACTTTGTAGATGAATTTAAATAGTCTTTCTTAAATAACAGCTATAACAGTAAACCAGGAGTCCTCTCATAGACCTGTTGAGATGACAAATTCAAACTTAGGCCCCGGGAGCTCAGGGCTGGGAACAGAGGGTCAGGAATAGTGACTTGGGGGATACTTCTCAGCCATGTGTAGAAGGAGATTGGAGATTTCCTGATGGACCCAGGGCCAGCTAGAAGAATTTACAGAGAAAGAGATGCAAAGCTAGGCATTTAAAAGGCCAAGGCCTGTCCTGCACGTGTGACGGATGGCAGTGTTGAGGATGAACTGATGGGAATATGATGGAAGAAATCCCTATCTCACTGATGTTAGAAGTGGATCCAGGCCTGTGCTAGCCTGAGAATTCATATTAACTCTTTCTTATTTTCTTAAGTTATTATTTTATGTGTATGCCTGATGCCTGGGGGTGGGGGCATTGGATTCCCTGCAGCTGGAAATTGTGGATGGTTATGAGCCGCCATGTAGCTATTGGAAAAACAAACCCAGAAGAGTAGCCAGTGCTCTTAGCTGTCTCTCCAGCCCTCCATGGTTAAGCATTGCCTTGTTCTCTGGTGGCTCCGTGTGGCAGCTGAGGAGGGGAAAACAGCGGATGAACAGTTGAGGCTCTACAGATGTCTGCTTCTTTAAGCCAGGGCCTGCATCCTGCTCGTTGCTAAGATTGTGAAGAGCCTCCCTGTCTAGCATAGTGACTGATGTGTCTCTCACATTGTCTCTGTCTTTCAGGTGACTATAGGACGAGGATTTGGTGTCACCTACCAGCTGATGTCAAAGGTATGCCCTCTGATGATTTCCCGGAACCACTGTGTCTTGAAGCAGAACCCTGAGGGACAGTGGACTATCATGGACAACAAGGTACTGGAACTCACACAAGCCTGATGACTTCTAGTGAGGGTTATGTATTTTATTTATTTATTGGTTTTTTAAGACAGGGTTTCTCTTTGTAGCTCTGGCTGTCCTGGAACTCACTCTGTAGACCAGGCTGGCTTCAAACTCACAGAGATCCACCTGCCTCTGCCTCCCAATGCTGGGATTAAAGGTGTGCACCACCACTGCCTGGCTGAGTTTTTATTTTTAAAAATTCTATTAATTTTAAGTTATGTGTGCTTTGGTGGGGACAGAATGTGAGTGCTGGTGGCAGCAGAGGCTAGCCAGACCCCTTGGGCATCAGAGTTACAGGCAGTTGTGAGCCACTCTGTGAGTCCTAGGAACTGAGCAATTTGTGTGTTGTTATTAATCACTGAGCCATCTCTAGCCCTAGGTATTTAAAATTTCCTTTTTTTTTTTTGGATTTTTGAGACAGGATTTCTCTGTGTGGCTCTGGGTAGTCTAGAACTAGCTCTGTAGAACAAGCTGGCCTTGAATTCATAGAGATCTACCTGCTGCACACCTTTAATCTCAGAAAAATTTACTTTTCTTAACACCTGATAGTTGTTCTCATATAATATTCAAAAATGTAGCTACAGCCACCGGTTCTCTTTCCAAGGTGGGGCACCTCTGTGTGGTACAGGAAGTTAGATTGTGCAAGATGTTTGCTAGTGGCTGGAGTAAGCCTTCCTTGAAGAGAGTGTCTGTCTGGGGTGGAGCCATGACTCCTTTTCTAAAATTAGACTGTATTTCTGGGGAAACTGGCCTCTTTGAAAGGCAGCAATCAAAGATTCTGGGAATCTGCCGAAGCTTCTGGAGGACAGGAGACCTGGGACAGAGAGAGCTACTGCATTGTACCGCTCTTTTCCTCAGCGTCCACACACACACCTGCATACACACACCTACACACACACACACACACACACACACACACACACCTACACACACACACACACTCACACTCTGTCTCTCTCCACACACACACCTGCATACACACACCTACACACACACACACACACCCCACTACACAGAGACACTCACACACACACTCACACTCTGTCTCTCTCCACACACACATCTGTATACACACACCTAAACACACACACCCACACATCTACATATACACCACTACACAGAGACACTCACGCACACACACTCTGTCTCTCTCTCCACACACACACCTGCATACACGCATACACGCACACACACACACACACATCTACATATACACCACTACACAGAGACACTCATGCACACACACTCTGTCTCTCTCTCCACACAACACCTGCATACACACACACACACACACACACACACACATCTACATATACACCACTACACAGAGACACTCACGCACACACTCACACTCTCTCTCTCTCTCTCTCCACACACACACACCTGCATACAGACATTCCTCTGCACATCCACACACCCCTATATAAACTCTCACACACACATCTATACATATATACATTACCTTTTAAATTAACCTTTTGGGGCTGGAGAGATGATTCAGCAGTTAGGATCCCAAGTACCCACCTGGCAGCTTGCACTGTCTGTACCTCCAGTTCCAGGGGACTAGATATACTCACGCAGGTGTACGTGCAGGCAAAACACTAATGTTCATCAAGTAAAATAAACAAAACAAAAACCTGCTTAACTATTAGTGTTCTCAGAAACATTTTACTTTGAATAAAGGGTTTTTCTACTTTATCTTTTTAGGTTTATTTTATTATTGTATTACTTACATGCATGTGTGTCTGTGTGTATTGTATGCACATTTGTGCACAGGAGCTTGAGGCCAGAAGAGAGGTTTGGGTCCTCCAGAGCTGGAGTTACAGGCACTTGTGTGATGCCCCACATGGGTGCTGGGAATCGCACTGGGATTCTCTGGAGAAGGAGTAAATGCTCTGAAATGCTGAGCCATCCCTTTGTTCCCCTTTAATAAAATTTAAATTTGCCAGTCTAGTGGAAAATATACAGAGTCCAGCAATTAGGAAGCACTTGAAGTGCAGATGTACAGGCACCCAGGGATGTAATGGAAGTAGACCATGGGATGGGACACCAGGGATGTAATGGAAGTAGACCATGGGATGGGACACCAGGGATGTAATGGAAGTAGACCGGGGATAGGGGCCTTTATTTTTAATGGGGGTCTTGTTATGTAGTGCAGGCCAGCCTCAAACTCATCTGATAGTTGGTGATTTCTACCTTTGTGCTGTAGTCCTATGAGTATATTTTATGTGGCTAAGTCTCACTGCTTAGAGTAGTTCTTCAGATCTGCTAGCATCAGCAACAACCAGTGTGGCCCTGACTTCTGTTTGCTATTCTATCCCCTACCTGGCATACTTGGTTTTTGTTTATGCATATGGGTACTCTGTCTTTGCCAGAGAGGGAATCAGATTCCCTAGAATTGGAGTTACAGATGGTTGTGAACTTCCTTATAGGTGCTGGGAATTGAACCCAGAGCAGCCAGTGCTATTAACCACAGAGCCATCTCTTCAGGTCTGGCCAAGGACATGGCTCAATAGGTAAAGCACTGGCCATACAAGCATGAAGACTTGAGTTTGGCTCCCAGAGCCGTGCAAAAGGCATCTGAGGTATTGAGTATCTGTGATCCCTGTGCTTCTACAGCAAGTTGGCAGGCAGAGACAGGAGGACTCCAGAACAGCTGAGACCACCTCACACCAAAGTATGAAACTGTCTCACACCAAACCAGGGGAGGGGTGCTGCACATGACTTAGATCTAGTCAATGGTAGTATAATACAGTTAAGGGTTTCTATTCTTCAAAAGATAGCGTTAAGAAAAAGACAAGCCCAAAGTGGAAGTGTTTGCTATGTATATGACTGATAAAGTATTTTCATGTATGTACAGAGAGAGCTTCAAATCAGATTTTTTAAAAAGGCAGATATAACTCAGTTTTTAAAACAGATAAAAAGACAGTTACATCACACAAGAGTGTGCCAAATTTTACTCAACATCCACGAGAAGTTGTTGGCACTCGGTGATCAGGGAAATGCAAATCAAAACCATGAGGGAATACACTGGCAAGGATAAGGAACAAAGTACAATTATGTTTATCTTTAGAGGGAAGGTAGCTTGACACAACTACTTTGAAATGCATAACTCATTCAGTTGTACATTTTATGTTTAGAGCTCAATTTCTGTCTCTAGGAAACATTTGTAATGCCCACCCACAGTAGAATGTACAGAAGAGTATTTCTGTAGTCAACACTACTGTACTGTACATGGATAAGTCTTATTTATTTGTTTGCTTGTTTTTTAAGACAGGGTTTCTCTGAAGCTTTGGAGCCTGTCCTGGAACTTGCTCTGTAGACCACGCTGGCCTCGAACTCACAGAGATCCACCCTCCTCTGCTTCCCAAGTGCTGAGACTAAAGGTGTAAGCCACCAATGCCCGGCTAAACATGGATCAAACATGATGTGGAGTGAAAAGGCCCCACAGCAAGTTGCCAGGCATGCTGCTATATGCCTGTAGTTCCAAAATTTGGGAGGGCAGAGCAGGAGATTCCATGCCAATGTGAGCTACATAGCTAAACTATTCCAAAGAAACAAAGTAGGGGCTAGGAGATTGCAGACAGGCATGAGGACCCCAGTTCAAACTTCATGTACAAAGCTGTGTATGGCAATGTGCGCCTGTAATCGCAGAGCTGGGGAGGTGGGTAGAGGTGAGAGCTCACTGTCCATCAGTCCAGCCTAATTGTTGATCTCTAAGCAGTAAGAGAACTTGCTCTTTACCTCTACAGTTCTCTGAGATCAGTTCCCAGCACCTGCCTAAGGTGCCTCACAGCCACCTGTACCTCCAGCTCCTCGGCTCTAGGGGAACTTGGCACTCAAATGCACACACGCATTATTCAAAATAATAAATCTTTTAAAAAAATGAGGAAGCCAAGTATGGTGGCACATGCCTTTAATTCTAGCAATGGGGAGGCAGACGTGGTCTGATCTCTGAATTTCAGCCCAGTCCCAGGCCAGCCAGAGCTATGTGGTGAGACCCTGTCTCCAAAAAAAAAAAAAAAAGCAAAACAAAAATAACAGGAAGAATGGAGTTGGGGAGATGGCTCAGTGGTTAAGAATACTTACTGCCCTTGCAGAGAACCCAGGTTCAGTTTCCAGCATGTACATAGTGGCTCACAGCTGTTCTCAGCTCTGGTTCTAGGAGGTCTGGGGTCTGGTGCTCCCTTCTGACCTGTGTATATGTGGCACGCGGACATGCATGGAGGTAGAATGTGCACACATCACGTGTGGTAGAGAGCATATGAGGGAATCACCGGTGATGCACTCTGGCCTCTTTTACGCACGTGCATACCCAGCAGCAGAAAGATGCCATTTCAATAATGTTCAGAACCAGGTGAAATTATTAGTCCAGCGGGTGCTGGTTCCCTAACGAGAGGAGGAGGGACCGGTTTCTTGGATGCTGTGATGTGCTTTTTAAAGCCATGTCATAAATGGCACTGAGGTGTTGTGTTCACTTTGTGGATGATTCATCTAGTTGTATGTTTACTATTTATCCATTTACATTTGTGTATTGTGTTTTGTTAAAGACATTTAGAATATTGATCAGTACTTTCTTCAGATTATAAAGAAATGTAAATGTCAGTGTTATAGTCTCGGTTCTGAAGTGAGTGTGATCTCTGCCCTCTCCCCCAAAGCTAAGAGCCCTGCCAGGGTCTTGTTTGCTCTAAAGCTCATTTTAGGACTTGTCGTCTCCATTTAGCTTTCGCATCTCCACATGGTACCCTTTATAGGCTGTGCCACAGGAGCCCATGCTTAGGTGTGTCCTTGCGTTGTCCTTCCCACAGACAGCTGCTAAAATCTGTTCTCGCCCATTTTGTTCTTGGTGTCTTCACCTGGTAAGATGTTGAGCACAGAAGTGCAGAGACCTGTCATCAATTGTGCCCGGTAGTGTTCTGAGTGCATCACACATGCCAAGTTCACGCAGGAATCCCCAGAAAGGTCATCATCTTTACAGACACAGTAACTAACCCCAAAGCAAACAAGGCTGCCCGGTGTTACTCAGCTGTTAGTGATGCAGACCCATGCAGGGTGTCCATCTTCAGTGCTGGGGACCGAACCAGGTCTTCATGTGCATCCATCCCAGGGCTCCATCCTTCTCCCTGTCTGTGCTTTAATGTAATTTCATTATAACAAGAAACTAGGTAGCAAAAGCCTGCAGTTTATAGCGTGGGATAGATAGATACTAGACATCCCCATTTTAGAGACAAGGCTGAGACAGAGACGTGAAGTAGGATTGCTAAAAGCATGTAATTAATGAGCCCAAGGTGTTGTGTTTGGTCTGTGAGTTCAAGTCCAGGGTCCAGCTCTGTTTGCTACACTATAATATGTGTAGACAGCTGTGGTGTTACTGGGTTAGGTCCCACCTCCAGTTTGACCCTCCCAGTACAAAGTATTGGTTTTTACACACTGGGCAGTGCTATGCTTGTTGAGTGTGTTGGGGGCCTGCGTGCAGAATGTGGGTGACTCCTGGCTAAGCCTGCTTTGTGGTTTGCATTCTTGAAACATTGCCTGGAGTTCAGGTCAATAGGAATGATTGAGTTTTAGTGTTCTTTAGTGCGTTGCGTGCTTTGAGTAGGTGATTCTTGCCTGTTACACAGGCAGTTCTCTGTGGAGGTATGAATGTGAAATATAGGTAGAAAACCAAAGCACTGTGTGTTCAGTGCTGTTTCCAAAGATGGTGGTTTATGAACCTTTCATTTCTGTTTGTTCTCAAGGGTTTCCTTCTGAAAAGGCAGAAGGTTTTGTAGCAGCAAGAGAGAAATTCCATTAAGAGGAGGAAAATCAGGGGCTTATTTTGTTTTTCTTTCCTTTTCCCTAGAGTCTGAATGGTGTTTGGCTGAACAAAGAGCGTCTGGCACCATTACAGGTTTATTGCATCCAAAAGGGAGACCATATCCAGCTTGGAGTGCCGCTGGAAAATAAGGAGAATGCAGAGTATGAATACGAAGTTATTGAAGAAGACTGGGAGAGGCTGTCTCCCTGCCTTGCCCTAAAGAATGACCAGACAGGGGGGAAAAACAAAGACTTGAAAACTAAAAGGAAGTTCAGTTTGGATGGAGTAGAGAGTCCTGCAGCTGAAGGCCCCTCGGATCTCAATTGCAAAGTAACTTCAGTCTCTTGTGAAGCTGTTGAGCCAGTGAGGTTATGTGGGAAAGGTGAAGCAGCAAGCCAGCCCTTGGGATGTTTGTGTCCTAAGTTGACTTCTCTTGAGGCAAGTGACAAGACCACCGGGACTCATGCTTGCCCTACTCTTCCAAAGGTCATGGAATGCTACCCTAAGAAGCAGAAGGCTTCCAACCCCTCAGCATCTCAGAGCAGCTTAGAGCTGTTTAGGGTGAACATGTCCAGGATTCTGAGGCTGAAAGCCCAGATGCATGAGAAGCAGATGGCTGTCCTGAATGTGAGGAGGCAGACCCGAAAGGGGAGCTCGAAGAAGATCTTGAGGATGGAGAAGGAGCTGCAAGATTTACAGTCACAGCTGTGTGCAGAGCAGGCTCAGCAGCAAGCCCGGGTGGAGCAGCTGGAGAAGACTTTCCAGGAGGAGGAGCATCATCTCCAGGTACTGCAGAGATAGCAGGCAGGGGTGCCCTCAGCTGGGCAGGCACTTTGTGAACTTCCGGCTAGAGTTGTCTCTGAAGCAGGGACCAGATGCTAAGCTTTGGAAACAGAGTGGGAACAGAAAACCAAGGTGGAGTTTTGCAGAGGTTAAAGTTCCAGCACACGGAAGAGGTCAGGGGCTAGTTAGGGTACCAGGATGAGGAAGGTGGCACAAAAGCCAGCTGGGATGTGACTGATCTCTAATCAAAAACTGAGGTGTTTCAGGTCCAAGATAAATTCAGGGAGAAGATGGATAAAGAGCAGGATGCAACGAAACCGTCGGTTTCTGTTGTCTGGTCCCTCTGCTGATTCACCTGAAAATAAACACACGGGCACTGTTGGCCAAAGGCTAGAGCTTCTTATTGGCTACTATGTCTTAATTATTAACCCATTTCTATTAATCTAAGTATTTCCACGTGGTCTTATCTTACCAGAGAAGTCCGGACCTCTTACTTCTTTGGTGACTACATGTCGTCTCCTGGCAGGCTTTCTCTGCCTACTTTTTCTAGAATTTTTCTCATCTCCTAGTCCTGCCTATCTCCCTCCCTCTATTGACCTTAGTGTTTTTTTATTCATCAACCAATAAGAGAAACATATACAGAAGGACATCCTCCATCGGGGAGATGGTGGTTTTGTTCATATCTTGGTCAACCAGAATGCCATGGAAAGGCATAAAACTGGCTGAGTGATAAGCCACCACCCTTTACTAGGAGATAAAAGACATATCTGAGTGGTCCGGAGGAAGGACCAAGTATGTGCTCATCTCCAAACCATTTGCTTGGATGACAAGCTCTTGCATGAAGCTTCTGGCTAGAGCTGATCCTATCCCTGTTTAAAATGTCACTTCCCATGTGGCAGGAGCCTTGTCATCCCCACTCCAGTTGTCCAGGTAATGGTGAATGTCAAGAATTCCCTACTGTTGACTTAGAACCAAGAAGGATCAGTCATGGCTGAGGTGAAAGGTGTTTTTATCCTGCTTGGGTTTCTCTGGGCAAGGAACAGCCTGTAATAGTGTGAGCTTATTTCTGAAGAATTTATAAATTTCATCCTAATCTCTGCTGACTGCTTGAGCTGGTAAGATTAGCAAAAGCTATGGATTACACAGGTGCCTTTGGGGCATGCGTGGTGGGCGTGCATAGCTTTTGCTTTCCCTCTCCAGCCCAGACAACTGTAAATTCGCAGAGGGTGGGAATCTTCGGTTCAGCATATCACAGTTTCATTGAGTCGAGTTCTCTAAAGGACAGCATTTGTGTTCAGAAACGATCGTGCCTGGGGTTAATGTGTGTGTCTATGCTGTGCGCTAAAGATATAGCTGTGAAGTCTTTTTTTTCTGGAGCAGCGGGTTAAAGACAGAAGAAACTGGTTTAGCGATTTTTTTTTTTTCCTTCAGGTCATGTATGCATGGCTTTGAGTAGCAAATCCTGTTCTTTGTGTCAGCGGCTTCTCCCTCTGCCCTCGGCATAGCCTGCCACTGCCCTGGAAGCTCTTGTCCCCTGCTTCATGCCTGACACCGTAATTGTAATTCTGCTTGGTATTAAAATGCTTAGTGTTGTTTTTAGCCATTAAGTAATTTATCTTGGTTGAGGCAATATATGGTTGAGGCAATGGAAGAATGACTTTCAAGGTGGTGCATTAAATTATGAATGATTCAAAACCTCCCACGCCATAGGTGATTCCTAAGGCAGCAAGAACACAGAGGCCATGTGGAAGAAGGTGGCCACAGATGAGTGACAGTTTTAATGACCTGTAGAGGAAAGGCAACAGAGGTCCAGGCGAGGGCAGAAAGAACGTGGCTTGTAGAGGGTCAGTGTGGAGGGACAAAGGGTGGAAACGTGGTGGGTGCCGGCCTGCAGTTTTAGCCATTTGAGTATCATGGCATTAGGTAATAGAAGATTAGACTGTCATCCCGTTGTCTTCAGGGCCACTCAGCTGGTGGCTTGAAGCTGACAGCCCTGAGAATGCAGTGCTTGAGCAAATAACACCGTTCAGATCCTTTGCTGACAACAGCTTGAAGGGAAATAGGGATTTTCTGCCGCTCCCTGTCCCGTGCTGTTCCTTGTCATACCTGTCCGTTGCAGGATTTTGTTCCCTCTCCGCTTGACTACAGGGAAAACTTTGACTTTGTTTTGGCTTTTCAGGGTTTGGAGAAAGAGCAAGGAGAAGAGGACCTGAAGCAACAGCTGGTCCAGGCTCTGCAGGAGGTAACCTAATCTCTCCCATTTCCAGAGGCTGTGGTAGTTGGTGAGTAGGGAACGGCCAGGCATCACTTGGCCACTAGCTGCCTCTGCCTCTTAGTCCACTGCTCTGTGAACTCCAGCCTGCAAACCGAACAGGTGGCAGATGCTCTCAACATCAGCCTGGAGACTTGCAGCCTCACAGATACACACCAGATCTCAGCATGGAAACGTAGGTCGGTTTCATCAAGCAGAAGCCACTCTGGTGATGACAGAACCAGCCTGTAGAAACTGGGGAGCTCTTTGGAATAGTGAGAGCAGCTAAGGGGAGATGTTAGCTTAGGCTTGGACCTGAGGGCCTTAGTACCTCACAATCCCTGCACTGTGGCATACAGAAACCACTGAAGAATGTTCCAGTCACGCATTTTAGATCAGTTTGAGAATGAACAGCCTAAAGCAAAAACATCCACGTAACAAAATAGCGACACAGCATCAGGTCACCTCAAGGACCGCTTTAATCCCAGCACTTGGAGGCAGCGGCAGACAGATCTCTGTGAGTTCAAGGCCAGCCTGGTCTACATAGTGAGACCCTGTCTCAAAAACAAACAAGGGCAACAACAACAAAAACCCTTGCTTCATCTTTGAGCCTTTGGTTATGATCAGTAGTTTGATGCAAGCTTAGCCAAAAGGTCAATGATGTGATGGCTAACCCTTCTTGAGCACAGTGAGCATCAGCTTTGCATACAAACTTGCCCAGGGCGCAGCTTTCTATTTGCTTATTGCAGATCTGTGCCTCTGCCTTGTGGCTGCTAACAGTTATGTGATAAGGAGCCTGCCTTGATTTCCATGTGGGGAGGTGCACAAATAGCTTTGGAAATAATTAGGTGAAAATTCTATCTTTGGAATTTTTTTCTTTTTTGAGCTTATCTACTTTATAGGCATTGTTCCCATTTGAGTATTTAAATGTTGTTTGTTTGTTCCTACTTTTTATTTAGTGTGTGAATGCACACAAGCACTCCCCTGTGGGGCTGGAGACGTGACCTGAATCTGGTCGCCAGCACTCACACTAGTCAGCTTACAACCCCTGTAACTCTAGCTCTAGCGAATGGACATCCTCTTTTGGCTTCCCAGGGTACTCGTGCACATGTGGCTCAATGTCATACAAACACACTAAGTGAGAAATAAATGAGCCCATTTTAAAAAAGAATTGTATATGTGTGTGTGCTCATGTGCAACACTGTGTGTGAAGGACACTGCCTGTACCTGTACCTGTGGAGCCGTCTCATGGGCTCCTTTGGAGAGGGTTTAAACTAGTGCTTACATCTTTTGAAACCAGCTCGAGAAGAGTAAGGTTTTGCCATGCAGAAAAAGGTCTGGTATTTCACCGAGCTCCCTTGTGGCTACAGCACCTCACCTGTTATTTATTTATTTGTTTGTTTGTTTGTTTGGTTTTTTGAGACAGGGTTTCTCTGTGTATCCCTGGCTGTCCTGGAACTCACCCTGTAGATCAGACTGGCCTCAAACTCACAGAGATCTGCCTGCTTGCGCCACCACCATTTGGCACCTCACCTGTTCTAGCACGGGAGAACATACGATCATGAGGCATGCAGTCATCAATCTGATATGTGGTTTCAGGTCATACTTTGCCATCATACTTAGGGATATGCCACTCTGAGATGTAGTGGTTGATCCCCCTGAAGACATTCTCCTTTGCAGACTGGTAGGAGAGCTTGCATTTGCACAAGGCTTTGAAGACATTTTTCTGAGTGCTGTGCATGTTATTTTCTTATCAACACTGGTGGTAGGGTCACTTGTTTTCCTATTTTACAGATGAGATAGTTATGGAACACAAACATAATTAGTGGTTAAGATGCAGACCTGGGCCTTCAGGTAACCACACATTGTCATATTTCTTTCTTTAAACTTGTTTTGAAGATTTAATTTTTTTATATGTGAGTATGGAGGTATGGCATGTGAGTTCAGGTGTGCTTGGAGACGGGGCATCAAGTCCCCTGAAACAAAAGTTACAGGAGATTGTGAGCTGCCTGATGTGGGTGCTGGGGACCAAATTCGGGTCCACATATTAACGGCATGCTAAGCTGTCTCTTCAGCCCCTAGATTCGTTTCTTGAAATTATCTTCAGAGAAACACCTTTATTCTGCCTTCTTTAAAAAAATATGTGAGGCGGTGGTGCATACTTTTAATTCCAGCACTCAGGAGGCAGAGGCAGGTGGATCTCTGTGAGTTTGATGCCAGCTTGGTCTACAGAATGAGTTCTAGCACAGGCTCCAAAGCTACAGAGAAACCCTGTCTTGACACCCCCCCCCCAAAAAAAAAGTTTGCAAGGTGAGATTCATAAGTTCGAGCTGTGCTTATTCGTGGAAGGAGTCAGTTTTCTTCTTCCCTTTTTTCTTTCTCCCTTCCCTCCCTCCCTGCCTCCCTCCCTCCCTGCCTCCCTCCCCCCTCCCTCCCTCCCTGCCTCATACCCTGTGCTCTTTCCTTTGCTGGCTCAGTATCAAGCCTAGGCCTTCATGCACACTAATTATGTGGTCCGTGACTGGGTCACATCCAACAGCTGGAGAACCTATTGACATATGGTGTAAGGAGTCAGTCACAGTGTGCCAGCTGTTTGCACTTGGGCATGCCAGCTTGTAGCAGATCCTGGCCACGTTAGTTCCAAAGGACTAAAGATTTGCTGTCCCCCCTCCCTGTCCTGAATGAAGGAAGGCTGCTTTTGCAATTGTTGTCATCACTGGTCCCTAGACCAAAGTCACTGACCAGAGAGAAGGAGGAGCAAAGGTGTGTGGCTAACAAGAGGGCTGCTATGCAGTTCATCCTGATGTTATGCAGTTCATCCTGATGGCTTCCCTGCTGTCTCTGCAGCATCGGGCTCTAATGGAAGAGCTAAATCGCAGCAAGAAGGACTTTGAGAAAATCATTCAAGCCAAGAACAAAGAATTGGAGCAGACCAAGGTACTGGACAGAGGAGGGAGGCTTAGGACTTAGCACATGCAGCTTGGCACTCTCAAGAGTGCACAGTTGCTGTGGTGAATAAAGACTGATGGCTATTCCCTGCCTGGGGGACATGACCCATAAAGTTCTCACCTATAGAGAAACTGCTGCCTGTGCGGTAGCACCTGCTTCCTGGTGTAGCTCTCTTTCAGGATACATCTCTCCATCAACTCCACAGAACTCTTTTTGTTGTCTGTTTGCTTGTTTGCTTTGTTTCGTTTTTCAAGGTGGTTTCTTCCTGCAGCTCTGGTGTCCCAAAACTGTACTGTAGAACAGACTGGCCTCGAACTCACAGAGATCCAACTGCCTCTGCCTTCTTAGGGCTGGGATTGAAGATGTGCACCACAGCCCAGCAGAACTCTTAAATTGTAAGTTGCAAACAAATGCCTACCAGTGACAGACCAGTAATGAAGGTGAGTGGAGGGGCTGTGAGTCCGGCTGCTCCCTGACTCCTCCCCAGAAGGTAGCCTTGTCAGATCCTATTGCTTCATAAGTCAGCAGAAATCCAGATGTTTGCAGGGAATACCGCAATTTTCAAATATTATCAGCACATCTTTTAGGCTTGTGTAATCATAAAATACATATTTATGAGGAATAGTGATTTTTCAATATATGTACAAGTTCAGATTTTGTATTTATTGTATTTGTGTTTTTAAATATCACAAAGGCCAAGCAGAAGAGACCTGTGGGCGGCTGGCCCGTCCCCAGGTCAATTTCTAATCTGAAATGAGTTTGAGTCAGACTCTCCTCCCCTATTCCAGCTTCAGACCTGGAGCTTGAGAACAAAAGAGTGAGAGGAGACTTTGTCCCTAGCAGAATTGATGTCCCTGTCCTCTGTATACCTTTTTTGGTGGTGGAGGTGGATGCTAGGGTTGGACCAGGTGCTAGGCTTTCTGGGCAGGCTCTCTGTCCTGAGCTGCAACATCTAAGCACATTGTTTTCCTGAGTCAGGATTTTACTGTGTATCCCAGGCTGGCCAGTAATCTACTTCTACCTGGCAGTTGCTAGGATTGTTGTCATGCACCACCCACTCTTGACTCCCACAACTTTTTTTTTTTTAAAGTGGGTCTCATAGTGCAGGCTGGCCTCAAACTTACTTACCGGGCAGCCAAAAAGGGCCTTGAACTCATTTTCTCTCTTAAAGTTTTATATATACAAATAATTTGCCTGTATGTCTTTGAGCCATATACGTGTGTAGTACCTGAAGAGGCCAGAAGAGGATCCCCTGGAACTGGAGTTAAAGACAGCTGTAAACTTCCTTGTGCGTTATAAGAATTGGACCTGGGTCCTCTGGAAGAGCAGCCAGTGCTGTTAAGCACTGGGCAGCCCACATGGTGGCTTAAAACTATCTGTAACTCTAGTTTCAGGGGATGTGGGGGTTGGGGGGGGGAACCCATGCTGCACACCCATTCATGCAGACAAAATATCCATATGCACATAAAATCTAAAGAGAGAAAAAATTTTCTCAGAGAACTTGACTTTAGGTAGAAACCAGCCTGGACACTCTTTTCCCCATAAGTGATTTAATAATCAGTTTTAATTAGAAAAGAGAAAGCGGAAAAGTGAGCCACTGCTTAGATACATTTTGAGTGGATTCTCCTCCCTCTCTTGGGCTCCTGTTGTAGAATGACATAACTAACTTACATCTTCAAAAGAGCATAACAGAGGTCCTTCCTAAAAATAGCACCACAGGTGTTACAGAAGCGGGAAGTGACAAGTGTCACACAGCTTAGAGCCAGAGAGTACTTTGGGAGGCATCTTCCCAGCCATGCCCAGAGGAACAGGTATTACGTATCCTTCGGTCATCAGAGAGACGGCTGCACAGGGAACTGTACAGCTCATCGGAGCCTCCTGCCTCCCGAGTGCTCTCTATATCTTGTCCTGTGAATTTTTAGCTTAGGGAGAAGTTTTTATTACTCAGGTTGCACCTTGCTAGAGAATATTTTAGTGGGGGAAAGGAACAAAAAGGACATATAATACAGATGTGGAAAAAGTAGTGTTTTAGTTTGTCTGGGCTGCTGTAGTTAAAATACCGTAAACTGAGTAACTAATCAGCAACAGAAATTTATCTTTTAAAGTTCTTCAGGCTGGAAAGTCCCACAAAAGAGCTGGCAGATGAGTCTTGCAGGCTTTGTCCTAGGCCCCTCATCCTGTCCTGCCTGTCCCCCTAGCCACCCTTAGGTGGGCTTCACCCCTTTTTGCTGACACACTGCAGGTTAGCTTTCTGCGGGGATTGACCACAACAAACAGGGAGAGGGAAGACAGAGCTAGGGTTCTGTGTTAAGAGGCAGTTCTCTGGAAGGGGAGACCCACAGGGAGTTCATTCTTGCGTAGTAGTTGCTCTAGAAGGCATTTGCATCGGGTCCCGCTCCGCTCAGCTAACCTTGCGCTCGATCGTCAGGTCATGCATTCTGGCTGTTTTCCCAGGTGACAGGTGGTGTTGTGTCTTTGCAGGAAGAAAAGGAGAAGGTGCAAGCACAGAAGGAGGAGGTTCTCAGCCACGTGAATGACGTGCTGGAGAACGAGCTGCAGTGCATCATCTGCTCCGAGTACTTCATCGAGTTAAGTATGAGCAGTGGCTCACCCCCACCCTGCACGGTGCACCCCCAGTGTCACATGGTGTAACCCCCATCCCGCACGGTGCCCCCCACCCTGCACGGTGCATCCCCCACCCCGCATGGTGCACCAGCCTTCCTTCTGGGCTGCTTCTGCTACAGGGAGTCACTCTGAAGGGAGTTTTCTCCCTAGAGCTGTTTGATCTCAAGGTGACGTCGGGAGGTAGCCACTTCTCATTACATCATTCAGTCATCACCGTGCTTTTTCTCTTCTTAGATATTCACTTCACAATGTTGCCACTTTAACTGCAATGAAGGCCTATCAGGGCTGCATAGCATTAGAGTTTTGAAGTATTGGGATAAAGCTGCCCACTAATGCTGTCCTTCTTTACTCTGGACGGGCACGGTGCTCAGCGTGGGCTTGTAGTGTGTCTTTTTGAATGCCATTGATTGTGTGGTTACTGTGGTAATTAGGGGCCAGAGTGAGTATATTTCAGGGCTTTGAGGACCGTTTTGAAAAGTGAAGCACCTCTCTCCTAGGCTACCATTTGTTACTTTGTCACCAGTCTTTAGTTTCTAGTATTTGTAACTAATTCATTTTATACTGCTGTCAAATGGCAGGGTTTTAGATAGCTTTGGAAAGGAAAATGCATGTACAAAGGGATTCCGATTCTGATGCAGTCTCCAGGAGGTTGGATGTGTTCGCCTTCTGAGGACTCTCTCAGGGAGAGAAGTGTCTGTGACTTAATTCACACTGGTCATTGGTTTCTGCAGTTTCTAATCTGGTGATTCCCTGCTGAGGAGAAACTCAGCATTGCTCAGGACTGTGGAAGCTGGCAGGAGATGGCAGGAAAGGAAGATAGAAATGGGTGGAGAGTGGGCATCTTTTGTTTGCTTGTTTTTCAAGACAGGGTTTCTCTGTGCAACAGCCCTGACTGTCTTGGAACTCACTCTATAAACTAGGCTGGCCTCGAACTCAGAGATCCATCTGCCAGTTCTGCTTCCCAAGTGCTGGGACTAAAGGTGTGCGCCACCACCGCCCAGCATCCCGGAGCATCTTTGTAAGGCAGGGCTAGTGAACTTCCCTTTTGCTCCTGTTCTGCCTTTGAGGATTGAGAAAGTTCGAGTGGCAAGTGTCTTTGTGTGTTCCCTTCCACACTGCAGGCGGTCACCCTGAACTGCGCCCACAGTTTCTGCTCCTTCTGTATCAGTGAGTGGATGAAACGGAAGCTAGAGTGTCCCATTTGTCGAAAGGATATTGAGTCCAGAACCCACTCCCTGGTTCTGGACAATTGCGTTAATAAGATGGTGGATAATCTGAGCTCAGAGGTGAAAGAACGACGAAATAACCTCCTCAGGGAGCGGAAAGGTAAGTGGGTTTTGAGATCTCCTCCTCAACAAAGGACTCAATTATTTCTGAGCCACATTAGGTATTTTTAAGGGGTGAAGGTGGGGATTAGAATGTAATAAATTATGTTTGAATTGTGGACAGGCAGGAGAAATGAGAGTGTAAAGGGTGGTCAGACAGCAGCACAGGGAAGGACTCAACTAGAGATAGCCTCTGGAGTTTGAGCATCAAGAGGTGGGAAGCTTAACTGTGTATACCCTGGTCCTTGGAGGGCGGTAAGAGAAAGCTGTGACTAGAAAACACAGTCAGATGGCTTGCCATATGGACCACCAGATGGTGCTGTTGCTGAAGACAGCTTGGTTCTGCCACTTGGGTTGACAGATTATAAATAAGACGTGTGTAAGTCAGAGTCTCCTCTTGGAGACTACCTGGGGAAACACATACAAGCTCTGTTTGCAGGAGCCGTGGCTTATAGTGGGGAGAGCTTGCAGGAGCCGTGACTTATGGCAGGGAGAGCTTGCAGGAGCAGCGTGTGGCTTACGGCAGGGGTAGACCGGTGGTTCTTCTCTAGGATGGGCAAAGCCCTGGGTTCTATCCTCAGGACTGTTCCCTGTGCACACACCTGTTCTGTCCTGGTGGGTCTCCCAGTCAGAGGACTTTGGTGAAGGTTTATTTAAGTCATTTATTTAAGTCAGTGTTTCTCAAACCGTCCTAATGCTGTGACCCTTTAATACAGTTCCTCATGTTGTGTGAGCCCCAACCATAGAATAATTATTTTCTTTGCTGCTTCATAACTGCAGTTTTGCTACTGTTATGAATCATAATGTAAACATCTGTATTTTCCAGTAGTCTCTTGGGGTCGTGGCCCATAGGTTGAGAACCAGGGGTTTGAGTGATGGTGCCACACGGGGCTTGCCCTCTTAAGGCCAAGAGAGCCACTTCTCTTGGTGGTGTTGTCGCAGAAGAGACTCTTAGAGCAAAGCAGGGGAGCTGCGAGGTAGGATGCGTGGATTATTGAGTAGAGAGTCGTTGTGTAAAAGACAGAGCAGAGGGGTATGGCTATCATGTTCCATCACTATCTTCTGGGAATTGGGAATTAAGGAGGAGGAGCTGTCCATGACTGCCCACCTGGCCACTGTGTGGTTTGGCTATACTCCTAAGTCCAGGGATGCTGGACAGCCTAAAAGGCCAAATACTATTGACAAGAATTGGATATTCTGTTCATAGCTTTCTTCTCGCCTAGCCCTACTGCAGCTGCCAAGTAGTTCAAGTAGGGGCAGGAATCTGTTGTTGACTCATAGGCAGCCGTGCTGTGAAACTGGGCAGGCAGCAAGTGCATTATAGAGCTGGCAGTTGTGGAAGCTGAGTGGGATCATGTGTTAGCCAGTGGCTGTCCAGGAAGGGTTTCTTTGTTGCTTCCCTGATACCTGCTGGAGTACTCTGCCCAGTGTGTCAAGCCCCCACACACTTTACCTCTGCCCTTGATTCTGGCAGAGCTCTGTCGTTCTCCATCTCCGCCTTATCATTCCGTAGGAACGTTACTCTAGCCCTGGGGTGGAGAACAATGCCTACCCTGATTGTTCAAAACACTTACTCGTCTGCCTGAGGGACATAGAGGCAAGGACACCCTGTGTGGCTTCACGGGAAGAACTGCTTCCGCCAGCCTGGGCAGGTGGACATGAGAGGATCCTGTAAAGGAAGTGATGTTTGGACCAAGCCTCATGGCTTCCTGGATGCTCACCAGAGGACATGGCACACAACTTGCAGAACAGCCAAGACTGGGAGGGTCTGCTGGTGGGCAAGAAACTTGCTTTTGTCTTCTTGCTTCCCTTTCTGAGAGGAACAGTGTCTGGAGCCAGATTCAGTCAGGATCAGGTTGTGACCTTTGAGCTGGCATGTGCTGTCTGTGTCAGGGTGGGGACACCTATGAGAGTCAGTTTGCCCAGTGTGTGCCATGCTCTCATCAGCCCACTCACAGCTGACTGTTGTAGAAGAGCCCATGTCCCAAGGTCACACCTGTCCCCTCTAATATAGAGGCACTGGGTAGAGTAGATAGGCTGGTTCCTCTCCCGTTCTCTGCAGAGGCTAACCAGGCTACCCCGGGCCTCTCTGGCAGGAGTGGCGACTGCACAGGAAACAGGTCCCTGTCGAATACACTGTCACAGCACCTCCTGGCAGCCAGTTCCACCTTTCTGCTGTTGTCACAGCAAGTGCAACTCTGAGGTTTACTCTAGACAGACAGAAGGTTCTGGGACTTGATTATTTAGGGAAAGATGTGCCAGAGCCATCAGCAGCTCTGCGGGGCTGCAGTGTGTGTGTGTGTGTTGGGGGGGGATTTAGAGAAAATTCTAAATTAAAATGTCCACTCTCTATGAATGTGCCATTTGAAAAGTTGGCTTAATCCTCAGTGCATGGGAAATTTTAAAAAAGAATTTAGGTTCGGGCTGTAGAGATGGTTCAGTGGTCAAGAGAACTGGCTGCTCTTCTATAGGTTCTGAGTTCAAATCCCAGAAACCAGGTGGTGGCTCACTGTAACTCCAGCTGCAGGGATCTGTAACCCCAGTCCAAAGGGGATCTGACACCTCAGGCACCAGCCACACACATACATACATGTAGGCAAAACACCCATACAAATAAATAAAACAATATACACAAAAAACAAATAGAAAAAGAGCTTAGGCCCTGGAAAATGGTGAACGTTCGGTTGTTTGCTGTGCAGACGCCCTGTGTTCTCACTTCAGAAGTGCCCTTCTCAACCTCCCTGACTGTGGACATCTCCAAGTTCTGGGTCTCAGTGGGAATAGCGCCTCCGGACTAAGAAGCCTGAGGAGAGGAGGGGGCATTAGGAAGCTGGATCCAGAATTAAAGAACCATGCCTTGAAGCTGGGGTAGATAACATACACCAGTCAGGTGTGTGTACCAGGGGCCACTGTGGCTATGTGTAGTGTTTGACACAGACAGGGAGCTGGTGAAGGGAGGGAGGGAACTTTCTTTTTTGTCTTGTTTTGATTTTTGAGACAGGGTTTCTCGGTGTAGCCATGGCTACCTGGAACTCACTCTGTAGACCAGGCTGGCCTGAAACAGAGAGCCACCTGCCTCTGCCTCTGGCTGGGATTAGAGGTGAGGGCCACCAACACAGCCAGGAACACTCTTGTTTCAGATAAATACTCCCCATCCCCATTTCTTCTGCTCTCATCGATGGCTGCTCACACCTTGATCTCTCCAGCAGTTCCTCCTCCTCCTCTTCTCTCCTGGTTCTGTGGTGGTTGTGGGGGTGGGTCTGACACAGTCTTTCTCTGCCCGCCAGGCTGGAACTCAAAGCTGTCCTCTGGGAGCTTTGAGTGCTCTCAGTGTTGGGATCTTAGGCTTAAACCACTGTGCCCTGTCTCCCCGGAGTTTCTGAAAAGAGAGAAACAGGGCTAGAGAGGTAGTGGGATGGTAAGAGTCCTCACCCGGCCTGGGTGGTGGGCAGTGGACAGACCCAAGCATTCTCCCAATCCCTTGCTTTTATAATGCTAAACCGAAGCTCCTGCTGAGTGTGTGGTAGAGAGAAGGCACTGGGAATCTGTGAGATGGGCTGTTCAGATTCACCAGTCCTGTGACTTGGGCCACCTCAGTCAGCTAAGAGGAAGGTGGTCCAGAGGGACCAGCAGGGTCCTGGGCCCTGCAGAGGTCTGTCCGCTCCCTGGGAAGCCTTTCTGATGTCACCCATCTCCTTCCATGGTGTGTGTGGTAGCAGTCGGGTGACACCCAGCAAATAAATATTAGACAGCAGGTACTTGTGTGACTCAGCCCTGTCCTCAGAGATGGTCGTTCACATGACGTCAGCATGTAGCTCTTGTCTGTAGGAGTCTGTTTGCCTAAGGGAAGTGGCTTGGCAAGGTTGCACTCCGAGAGTACACAGTGCCACACTTGGATTATTTATGTATGAGGCAGGGTCTGCTGTGTAGACCAAGCCAACCTCAGACTCAAAGAGATCCACCTGCTTCTGCCTCTGCCTCCCTACTGCCACCTTGCCTAGCTGTAAGTTTTTGATTTTTAAAAATGTGTTTTGCACGACTGTCTCAGGCTAGCAGTGAAGGGCCATGACTAGAAGCATCACTCTTGTTTCTTCATTATAGCTCCCCCCTTCTGTCTTCTATTACTTGTCACGTTTGTTTCCCTTTTCATCGTTAATTGATAACTCAGAAAACGGTGCGAGACAGTAAGAAAGGAGGAGAAATGGCTGTTGGTTAAAGTGCTTGCCAGTATGAGAGGACCTGAGTTTGATCCCTGAGCCACTTAAAACACTGGACCTGGTGGCACCCGCAACACCAGTGTTGGGGGATTGGGGACAGGCGTGTTCTTGGGACTTGCTGGGAGCTTCCTCAGTGGGCCTCAGGTCATAATGAGAGACTATCTCAAAGAACTAGGTGGACACCTAAGGAAGGACCCTAAGGTTGGCTGGCCCTCCCCGCTCATGCACAGAGAGTCGTGCATGCATCCGTACAGAGAAATGACAGTGGCATCGAAGGAACTGTTGAGAAAGACTGTCCTGTTAGTGGTGGTCAGCTCTGGGGTTGATTGGACTGTATGAAGTAGTGATCCTGCAAGTCCTAGCACCTCTGACTTCTTATCGAGTCTGTGGTTCCCATGATTGCTGAAGCTGCCTCCTTCCGGGAGGTGTAAAGACGTTCGTTCTCTGACTTAGCTCTGTCGTGACATGACTTTGCCTTGTCACCAGAAACTACTGTCTGTTAACACCCAGGATGAGGTAGCTTTCCCAAGTGCTGTCAATCCTTTTCCATCACACCGAGGTGCACAGACAGTTGTGTTTGGGAGAACCGTGCTTTGTTCAAGGAGAGGTCCTGGGCCAACCTTGAGTACCTGTCCAGCTCACATTTAAACATTATACCCCACATGGTCCAGTGCTGGAGGGGTGCTGGCTCTCCTGAGCCTGTCGGTCCTGAAGATGAAGACCTGCTTGCTCTCCCAGATAGGATCTTCTTGTTGTTGGAGGCTGCTGGGGCGGATGTCATCAGCTCACAGCCCAGGACTAAGCTTCAAGCTGTGACATGAGCTGGCTTACTCTCTCCCTCTCTGGTGGTCTGGAGAAAACAGTGAAGGTGGCAGGGATGGGAGGGGTCGTGAGGGGATGAAACACGGGCTCCTCCTTCATGTATCTGTCTTTCTTTCCAAAGCAAAGAGACTGTCGTGAAGGTCATGCTCCAAGGACATGGGAGAGACACTAGGGGGATGATGGCGCCTTGGAGTGGTCTAGAGGATTCCCTGGATTCCCTTAGGCAGCTCTGGACATCACCTGGGAAGCCATGTGCTTCCCAGAGACTGAGTGGGAAGCCTGTGTCACAGGCCTTCTGTTGTGCCGGCCCTCCTGACACCATCCGTCTAAAGTTATCACTGGAACTCCGCGCTGACTGCTTCACTACGTGATGAATGAGTTGAGTTCTCTCGTTTCTTAATTTGTTGGTTATTTTTGATACCTCATGCTCCCCTGTTGATGTCATCTTGGACTGCCCTGAAGGTGGCTTGCATTTTGAGTCTGCTTTACCTTTTCTTTGTGAAAACAAGATGTCATTTCTTAGAAATAAAATGTAAAAGCCACCATTTGCTCAGCCGGGCTGCAGTGTATTTGCCTTCCTTTGCTTCCAGCTCCCAGACAGTTTCCCAGGTAAACACTGGCAGCTCATAGCCTGCAGCCAGGAGAGTGACTGCCCACCCCAGATGGACTGCCAGCACGTGTCAGCCCGAGAGCTCAAGTTCAAGGCGAACCTGGTGGGCTTTGGGTATTCTGTTTTCATGCAGCTGCCATTCAGAGGGTGTGTGCAGCTCTCTTCCTCAGCTTTAGACTTTACCAGAGCTCAGCACATCTTCCTTTTTTTTTTTTTTTTTTAAAGACAGGGTTTCTCTGTGTAGCTCTAGCTGTCCTGGAACTCACTTTGTAGACCAGGCTGGCCTTGAACTCACAGAGATCCACCTGCCTCTGCCTCCCGAGTGCTGGGATTAAAGGCTTGTGCCACCATGCTCAGCAGAATGCTCTATTTTTAAAAGACAAAAATTAACCTAAGCTTCCATTTTTCTCCACCCCTCTCCCCAGTCCTTTCTTGGGAGAGATGGCCGATAGTAAATCTCACATGCATCTTGCTTGCTTAGATGACATGCCACCTCTCCTGCCCTGTAGCGTTAGCACGGCCTAATGGAGCCACTGCTGTGCCGTCCTCTAGTTAAACTCCACCAGCGTGCTGAGAAACTGGATGAAGAGAGATCGTCCCACATTCTGGCTTTACCAAGCAGATGAATGCAGCCAGCAATGCAGTGACTGGCAGGTGTCTCTTATCCACTTGGCTACATTGTCGTAGAAAAGGCTCACTCACCCTACCCTTAGGCTTGCCTCATCCCAGCAAACAGACTGTCAGGGCAGGAGACTGTGCCCTTTGTGGGTGGGATAGCTGGACATCTATTGTCTGGTTTGCTGATTGGAACCCTCAAATTCCCTCATTAGTTGCAGTCTCTCTCTTCACTATTTTTTCTCCTCTGTGAGTGACCCACAGTCACGTGACTACAGTCACTATGACCCCGGGAGTCCCCTTAACTACAGGAGTGCTTAGACTGGGCAGCTATCTCCAGCTGCTCATTTGCTTTACATAGCCTTAATCTGCAACTAGACTGTCCACTCCTCATCTGAGGATAAGCCGGAATTGCGGAGCATGGGGGTGGGAGTGGGGTGGGGGGCACAGGATGACTCAGATGGCATCCATTCTAGCAGGCCCCTGATGTGCCAGGGTTTGCATTTGATCCAGAAATCAAGAGGATCTCAAACTCACATCGTGTTCTTCCTCTAGGAAGCAGCTCAGATGAGAAGGCTCTGGGAGGCTTGGGGCCTGAGCTGAGTGGCATGCTGCCACTCACCATAGCAAGCCAATGCCTTGTTCTGAATGCTCTTAAGCTTCACTCAGAGGGAAAAAAGCTTACTTTACTAAATCTTATTTTTATTAATTTTCTCTTATTTTGCAAATGGGAGTTGCAGTAGGAGTGGGTGGCTTCTCTGAAGAAGATACGGCCTGGCCTTGTGGGTGAGAAATAACCAACTGTGTTTCTTGTTCAGCTGGTTCTGGAGTGCAGGGAAGCCTGCTGATCATTCTGATAGATGCTTAGTGGACACTCAGATGGTATGCTTGACTGTCACAGCACCCACGCGCCATCTCTCCATGATGATCCCTGAGCTCAAGTAGTCTCCACAAAGTATTTCATGCTTACTGCTGTTGCATCAAATTCTAATCTAGAGCCTTACCTCAGATCCAACTTTCAGCCCAGTATCCCTGCTGTTTAGGTGCTGGGAATGATTGAAACTGGCCTAGTTTTTCTTTTGTTACATAATGGTCTTCTAATAAATGCAATTCAGTCATAGTTGCTGAATTCTTACTTTCACTGTGTATGTGTATGCACTCAACTTTGTAAGTTTATGTGTGCCACCTGCTTGCAGGACCCTAAGAAGGCCAGAGAGGGTGTCAGATCACCCAGAACTGGAATTACAGGCCGTTGTTAGCTGCTGTGCGGGTGCTGGGAACTGAATCTGGGTCCTCTGTAAAAAGCCATAAGTCTCCTGGCAGTGGTGGTGGTGCATGCTTTTAATCCCAGCACTTGGGAGGCAGAGGCAGGCGGATCTCTGTGAGTTTGAGTCCAGCCTGGTCTACAAGAGCTAGTTCCAGGACAGCTTCCAAAGCCACAGAGAAACCCCATCTCGAAAAAGAAACAAACAAAAAAAATCCATAAGCGGAACCAGGTGGTGGCGGCGGCAGCACATGCTATTAATTCCAGCATTCAGGAGGCAGAGGCAGGTGAATTTCTTGGGATTAACGACTTGTACCACCACCACCTGGTTTAGTTTCTGAAATCCTAAAACACATGCTAACAGTGGGTTGGTGGGGCTGACTTTCCAACACAGACAGGGTCCATAGTCAAAGGCAGGTCACAAAGCCTTGCTCATTCTACAGGCTTTCCATGAAGCTAACTTACAGTGTAGAGTGTTTTCTTCACATTTCTCACCCTCCGCACACCCAGAGCTAGCATCTCACAGGACAGCCAGAATTACACAGAGAAACCCAGTCTTGAAAAACCAAAACAACAACAACAAAAGGTACAAAGAGATATGTGTATGTGTTTGTATGTATATGTGAGTTAAGTTTAATTGAAGTTTTATACCAGCAAACCTGAATGTGCTTGTCACCCCGAAGCCTGAAAGGGCTTCTCAGTAAAGCTTCGTGTTCTGGCAGGCAGCTTTTCATGTCATCGGCTCTCTCCTTTCTTGTGTGCACACTAAAGCCATCAAAGAATTCCTATTTTGTGCATCCTTTTGTAAACTACAAAGGCTTTGAACAGTTTGGAAATAGTAAAAAGGATTTTTTTATTTCCTGCCAAATAAATTTTAGAAAGAAACCCTTGCCACCGTGCCCAGATGGACTGCTGTCATGCCTGGTGAGGTATCTAGTGGGGCCGTTTTAATGAGGAAAGCCACTTATATATCATCATCATATATATGAGGTATACACATTATATATAAAATACATTTTTCACAGATTTATACATCATCATCATATATATGTGATATACATATTATATATAAAATACATTTTTCATAGACATGCATCAATAGCAAAGACTCTTCTAACAAGCCCGCAAAAGAAGTTTTGTCAACAGCCTTAAATGTCATCAACCAAGCAGGTTTCTGAGTCAGGCAAGCACATTTAAACAACCTTTGACAAGCCAGTAGAAGAAAACATGAATTGCTTTTGTGCCACGAAGAAGTCTGCAGGCCATCCTGAAAATATGTCTTGAAGCACTTTCTTGGGCGGAAGGCAGAGATATTTACTTTAACTGAAATAAAAAGAATGAAAGAAAAAGAAAATTCACTCCACGGACATTATTAGAAAAGGAATTTTATTGATGTGTTGGCTTCTCTGGAAGAGTCTTTTAACCATAAGACTGAGTTTAAGCTTTCAACTCAATGTTATGAAGTCAAGATTATAGATGCTCCTGGAAGATATTAAAACATTCTCTGCCAAGTGGTCGATAAGGAAGGAACTGGAAAATATGCCTTTTTAATATACAATTCTGGCATTTTTCTTTGAAAATTCTGGAAATATCTGGAACACCTCAGAAGTCTTTCAAAGCTGTTTTCACCTTGATGCTTCTTAAGTTGAACCATGGTTATGCAATCCACTTTGTTCTTATATAAAGGAAATTCAAAGTTCTTAAAGATATTGACTCGACTGATGGTGAATTCTTAATCTTAAGAGAAAAGAAATGCAACCGGCCTACAAAGATCCTGGAGAATTACTGTATTTCTTGATAAAAACAAAAACAAAAACCCCTAGAAGTTTTAATTCTACCTGTACAGTGTTATTTTTGAATTTGCCAAAGAGATCCCTACTTGTGACTATTGAAACAAATAAAAAATTAAATGTCAGGGTTAGAGAGATAGCTCAGTAGTCAAGAGTACTTGAGTTTGGTCCTCTGCAACCCACATTAGGCTGCTCACAAGTGTAACTCCTCCAGCTCCAGCCGATCTGATGTCCCCTTCCAGCCTTCATGAGCAATCACACTCATGTGTGCACGTACCCAGACAGACATATTCATACAAAAAAAATAAAATATTTCTAACTATATTGCTGGGCAGTGGTACTATACACCTTTAGTCCAGGCACTCGGAGGCAGAACAGTCTGTAGAGATTGTTGTCACCAGCAAAGTGGTTCCAGTTGCCAACTTGACATAAACTATCTAGATCCAGTGTCCATGGGGGACTGTCAGATTGTCTTGATGTTCATTGATGTGGGAAGACCCAGCCCACTGTGGGTGGCACAGTTCCCTAGGCTGGTGTTCTGGCTGTGTAAGTGTAGAGGGTGAACTAAGCATTAAGAAGCATGCATACATATATTCCTCCCTGCTCTTGACTTGGGTGTCATGTGACCAGTTGCTTCAAGTTCCTGATGCTTTGGCTGATCCCCAAGATGATGCACTGTACCTTTATGAACTAAAGTAAGCCCTTTCTCCCCTAAGTTGTTTGTTTTTGCCAGAGTATTTTATGATAGTAACAGAAAAGAAACTAAAGCAAGATAAAAAAAAAACAATTATTCATTTATTATGTATATAGTGTTCTGTGTTAGTATTCAGGCATCTGTAGAGGTCTGCCCTTGGGTTCTGACAGGATTCGCCCTCAGCTGCAGCCACCTGTGCACATTCACTATGTTCCCTTTTAGAAGGGCTTTCCTGCCCCCTCCCCACTCACTCTCTCACTGCTCCCCAGAGGCCGGTCTCCCCTCTCCCCCTTTTATGACACCTTTCCCTATGTGGTGCCATCTTTCTCCCCTTTTTAAAAAAATACAACATTCAGTCTTCATGCACGTCAGAAGAGGGCGCCAGATCTCATTACAGATACTTGGGAGTCATCATGTAATCTCTGGGAATTGAACTCAGGACCTCTAGAAAGACCAGCTAGTGTTCTTAACTACTGTGCCATCTCTCTAGCCCCTGGACCTCAAGTTTTTAAAAGACTCTTACAAAGAAAACTTTGAATACAATTTCTTTAGTAGATACAGGCCTATTCAGTTTCTCTAT